CTAACACATGTATACCAAACACAACAACAATGACAATGCATTGGCTGCCATTGTGTGAAACAAAGAGAAAAACTTATGGTCTCTGTTAGTATGAAAATAATTATACATGCCTTCCTCCCTGTGTGTCTATCTTCACATTATCTTCCCTTTGTGTGCATGTTTGTGTATTTCTTGTCCTCTTATGAGAACATATTTGATTAAGGGTCCACTTATAATGAGGTTATAATTAGGAGTTTGCATTTCTTTTTAATGATGAAAAGAGTTGTACACACACAAATAAGTTGGGAACCACTGTTACAGGGTTCCTGTCAGGCACAGGATGAGGTAAAACAGGAAAGTAAGCTAAAATATGAAGGGCTTTTGGTATCAAGATAAGGACTCCGGGTTTAATTTGTTAGGCAAAGAGAACTACTAGTGAGTTTTTCTGAGCAGATGGCATGCATGTATGTAGAAGCTATTGTGATTAAATTAAAAATCCTGAACCACACTGATTTGTCCATCAAGGTGGAACTTTTGGAAAATGACCTGCGTATAGAATGGACTGAAGAAGAGTGAGTATGGAGATAAGGAGACTAGATATGAAGTGAGCAGGATCTCACTGGGATGAAAAATGCCACACATATTGCCAAGGAAGATGGGCAGAGGTGGGGCTAATCTGATGGTGAGTATATATGTATTTGAATGTAGATTTATGTGGATGTTTGAGGGTGTATGTGTACAGTAAGACATTTATATGACGTCTAGTTCCTTTGAAATTCAAGAGTCCTTATTATTTCTGTACCAGTCATTTGATATTTTTAATGTGTTGACTTGCTGATTAACTTTCCACATGTAAACACAATATTTCTCTAAACGGAAAATCTGAAAACATTCATTTTGACTGGTCTTGCACACAGTAGGCACTCAGATACGCATTGGTTGGTAAGCATCAACATTTTAGCCATCTAAAAACTGGCTTAAATTCACTAACAAATACTGAATTTCTATTTTGTGTCTGTGTTTTCTGCTTAGGAGAAAAAGTAGCAGAGTGAAAAAGGTAGAACTAACAATAGTTGGAAGACACTGAAGTTAAGTTTGGTGAAGAAATTGTAAACAGGCACCAAGCTAGTTTAAATGGTTTCAAGTTCCCAAGGCAGGACAAATTATACCCATTGATCCCGAAAGAATCTGAAAAGTAGATCACTGAACAACTCTCAGTGGTCTTTAGGACTCATAGAGAAGTAGATGTGCCAGAGGAGTAAAGCGCCAAAGGGAGGAGAAGACAAATTCTTGAAAACCCAGAGCAAGTAGCTTAATATTACCTTTAAGTGAGATTATAGAATGGTTCATTCATTAGAAAGGAAGCAGTAAGCCCTATTATCAAATCAAACACATTTTCTTGTTTGTGACATAGTTATTAGAAAAACTGATAATTCACATCTATTTATTTTTACTTTAAGTTTGTTCAGATACAGAGACAAGAGTGTATCAAGACTTTAACTAGTCAGTTGTCAAGGTCCCTTATATCTTTTTGGCTGAGTTAGAGAAATATGGGCTAGTTGTTAGCACAGGATGGTAGCTATTTAATAGTTGAAGTTTAATAGTTATACCAAGCAGGCACTTACAAGCAACTTAAATCAGTGGTTTAAACTTTTCGACTATGATTTGCAGTGAGAAATACATTTTTCATATTACCTGGGAAGCATACATGTGCATATATGTATGTGTGTATAATTAAAATAACGGATGTACTTTGACGTTTTCCATTCTATGGTTTCCTATTATATTTCATTAAAAAACTGCTGTTTGCAAGTTAACAAATTTATTTCTTAACTCACTAATGGGTCGGGACCCATAGTTTGAAAATGTGAATTGATTTCAATCAGAAGGTTTCTAGAAACTACACACTGTTTTTATCCTGTTTAATAAAATATTTGGGTGATGATATAAAAAAATTGTTCTCAAATCTGAAGATAAAAAGATAATAAAAAGATAAGTTTTAGCTTGATATAATCAGGATTAAGAAATTTCTAGCAAATTAATTTTTAATAGAAAATTTAAATAAAATAAAAATGAAATTGAATCTAAAATAGATAGGTACAATTCTGCACTTTATATCTCCAAATTACTTGTAAAGCTCGGTATTGAATATGTGCTGCTGCCTGGCAGCAGCCTGTCTAGAAACAAAACAAAACAATAACAGCAAAACAGAACCTTGGTGTTTCAGTTGACAATAATTTTAATAAGAGAGGGGAATGGAACCAAAATTGTTTGAGAACCTACCATGTGCCAAACATACACAGGATGCACTATAAGAATCACTGGTGTCATGTTGCTGAAAAAACAGAACTAAACCAAACCAAACCAATTTGGAGATACATCAACAGGAATTTCGTTTCTAAAGATTGAGGTGTTTCCCTCTCTTCCTTTCTTCCTTCCTTCCTTCCTTCTTTATTTTTTTTAAACGGAGACTGGGGATAGGGATTGAACCCAGGACCTCTTGCATGCTAAACACATACTCTACCACTGAACTATACCCTCCCCCTCCCTCTCTGTTTCATATTGTATAAACCTGGCTAGGATTTGGAGTACCCTGTTCAGATAAACTTTAGAGGAAAGCAAGAAACCTGCTCTTCAAAGAACCAGTGAAAGGAATGAGGGCATTTAGCCTGGACAACTGCTGCTTTCATTCATTCATTCATTGTTTAACACCTTTATTAAACGTAAATTATAAGCCAGGAGTGTTAGGTGCTGAAAAAACAAAAAATAATTAAAATGTTGTCTTTCCCCTCAGCCAACGAAGGGAAATACTATTTATCGACACTTGCTACTACAGTAAGTACCTTAAATGTATTAGCTACTTTCATCGTTTAATCCTATGAATCTCTACTTTGGGTTGGGTAAAATAAGGCTTTGAGGAGAAGTCATTTGCCCAAGATCACACAGATGAATGGGAAGAAGAACTGGAATCCAAACCCGGGCTCCAGTGAGTCTGGAGGACGTGTTCTCAGCCACTACACGACATTGTCTCTTGAAACTCAAATTCATGGGCTTCTTATCTTTGAAAGATTTTTGTTTGGAAGTATGGGTATGCATCTATTAATGCAAAAAGCTATAGAAAATTGATATTCACCACATAAAATATATTTTTAACCTGGAGATTTAAAAACAAATATTATAGGCAGCCTCTCTTATTAGATAGCTATCTTTTATTTCAAAATACTGTTAATGCAAATGCTAAGTTATTTGTACCTTTGCAAGAAAAGAGGCTTTGTAGGCTAAAAGGAAACAGGTCTGCTTGAATTTTCTAAACTTTACGCTTTTGGGGACAGTATTAAAAACATGTAACTGTGAAATTATAAAGACTTCTATGTGGTTATTATTGTTCTTACATGTGTTTACAGGTTATTCAACACAGACTGTTCGTGTATACCATGGGTACAAGGACACATTTACTATATGCTGGTTGCTGAGTTGAAATTATTTCATTGAATTCTCACAATGGGATAGATATTCTCATTCCTGCTAGTGAATGAGGAGACTGAATTCAGTACCTTGAGTACACTACACAGGTAGTAAGTTGTGTGATTCAAAAGCCTGTGCACTTTCCACAGTACCACACTGCCTTCCAGGAGCTGACAGTGAACTGGAGAACACTTCTCAAAGTCTAAAAAGAGCAAAAGATAGAACCTGCAGCCATATATATGCTCAATGGGGTGGAAAGAAGCTAGTGTGATGACCTTTCAGCCTAGATTTACAAATTTAAGATAAATATATCATTTAAAATTAGCAAATGGAAATGATGCTTGCAAAAGTAGAAACTACTCACTTGGGATAGGTAAAACGCTATATGTGGATATATGTCACAGGATTTTTCAGTGACAGCATATTTAAATCACACTGCTAAGATTTAAAAAGTTTGTAAGTTTCCCATACACTTTCAATCTTTCTAACATTTATAATTCACTTGCTACCTAATGTAAATAGACATACCAATTACCACTTCTTTCAGAAATTTTGCTTAACTTTTTTAATAATTCAATCACTTCAGTGCAGGTTTAAACAAACACACACAACCAAGAACTAATTCTAAGCACTGGTCTTGAGGAATTTTGTTATGCATGCTCTATGGTACTTTAGCATTTTAACGTGTTCCAATATCCTGACAGTTAACTTGACTAGCCAATCCAATTAAACAAGAGTAATAACAAACCAGATAATGACAGATTTGTATATTGACTGTTTTCATTTGAGATGACAATTAAAATGATTTGAATATACCTCAAGATACCTAATAGCTCTGGTGTCTTACAATGGATCTTTATTGAAAAGGGCATATCTCATGAAATATTAAAGAAAATTACATCCTTCATTTCGAGGAAGAAAATAGCAGTCAAGTCTATTTGGTTTTAATTCAACACTAGCAGCAGATTGCTGTGTACATTTTAATGTTTTTAAACTAAAAGTAATTTTTTCGTTCTATATATGTGAAGATACAGAAATCTACTTTTATCACAGATCAAGGCTGGTAGAGAATTAATTATATTTTAAGATAATTTCAAAATCCTCTGAACTGTACGTATCTAAGAAGAAGGGAGGGGTCATTAATTGGCATCATACCTGAGGATCGTTAGGGATTTTTAAAATGTGGGATTTGTCGCTCTCACCAAACTACTACCCCACAGTGTCACACAGTACAGGCTTTTTAGGCTGGGAGGTGACTTCTAGAACTGTTTGTTGTTCAGAGCTGCATCCAGAGCGGATCACTGTTTGACAAGTTCTATTTTAAGTCGCGCCTGTGTGTGCAGGTGACAGCTTCTTTCATGGCTGTAGAAAAAGACCCATTACTCCATCTGTATCCCTCCCCACGACAATGCAGGATCATTCCCCACGGTGCGTTTGTTTCTGCTTTGCCAGCCACTTTCTCACTGGGAAATTCCGGAGAGGGGGAGGGGGCAGGCGGGCAGGACTGTGAGGAAGAGGCAAGAGGGGCAGAAAGAGGTCGTCTGCCACTCCCCTACCTTACAAGGCACGTGGCACTGGCAGTAGCAGCTACTGGATGCAACGACGAAGATGATGAAAACCTCCTCCTAGCAAGAGGATATTAAGGGAATGAGGTGGTAGCGAAGGCAAGACACACACTCTGTGTCCTTCCCCTCAGGGAGAATTCACCCTCAAGGGAAAAACTACGAGGAAGCCACCGCCCGCCCCACCTCAGCCAGCTCGCCCCAGTGTCTGGCAGCGGTCCCCATGCACCTGCTCACCTGTCTATCCGTTCAGGGTGGTTGGGGGAGGGATGAGGGGTGTCGGGGTGGGTGTGTGGAAGGAGAAGGAGGGCAGGGCGAAAGAGGGGGTGTACCAAGCGCTCCGCCCCCAGAGGCTCTGCGCAGGCGCAGTGGCCGCTACCGCAGGCAGGGGGCGGCAACATGGCGGAGTGAGCGGCGGCGTCGGG